GCTGGCTCACCCTCCTCACAGACTTTACAGCTCTTGCATGTGCTGGAATTACAAGTCATTAAAAAGCCACTTTGAAAACACAATAAAGACCTTCTTCTCTGACTGCAACAACCTGCCATCACATAAAAACCTAAGGCCAGTGCTTCAACAGCAGGACATTTACCGCCAGCTCCAGACAGTTTAGCAGGGCAATGAAGAGGGTGGAGAGGGAGGAAATGAGACAAGCAAAAGAAAGGAATCCTCTTTTCCTTCTTCTTCCTTTTCCGCCCCCCTGTCTTTTCAAAAGAAACCTCTGCTAAGGTGGTTTGAAGTATTACCCTATATCTGAATCATCATCTACCCTTGGGTAAAATGCCACTATATGATGAGATTTTGGTTTCTTTTTTCTCTCTCAAGAAAATTTTTATCCAAGAAAACACTCTTGATAAGCCAAAATCATCAAAAGATACAGTGAAATCTAATTTCTCACACTGCAGGATAAGGTAGCCAACATTTTGACCACACATAATTTGCTCATTCACAAGAAAAGATACAACTTTGAACATTTTGACTGGTAAACAATGAGTGAATCTCTGCAGTGCAAAGCAAAAGAATCGAAGTTGATAATACACAAATTATCATAACTGAAGTTAATCATAAACCTATTTTAAAATTTTTATTTATTATTTTTCTCCTTCTTTTCCTGCTATAAATATAAAACTTCTTCACTAAACAAAAGAAAATCAACTTCATAGACTTGTTTTTAGAAGTGGAGTTATATGAAAAACAAAAAGAAACAGTGAGGAATTACAGAAGGGGTAAAAGCTATTTAGATTATTTTATATTATCAATTAAAATATAAACAAAATCAAAACTATAAACTTTTACTTGATACTAATATCCTCAGAACTTCACCCCTTCCATCAGTTAGTACAGGGGATCGGTAAGAAAAGTCACCTTTTAAGAACCAGTAAGTATTGTGGCACACTATGCCCTCCAAAAGATAGACTCTTAAAACAGAGAAACACTCTAACAGGAATTACTGAGGTTCTTCAATGCAAAATATCCTTAACAAAACCATCCCCTGATGATGCTTTCTGTGTTTGCTGATGTTCGCCCACCATGAAACACTCCATCTGTCACCCTATCCTATTGTCTTGCCCATTCAAATTCTTCTGTAGGGAAAATTATTTATGAAGTTTCATGTGACAATTCAGATTGCCTTTGTAAGATGATACATTTCAAAACTCACAAATATTTAAAAGTTATTCCTTCAGTTATATTACAAATGACACAAAAATAAACTATTTCTGAGAATGATTTAACAAGTACACTAATTTAAAAAAAGAATACTAACAAATGCCTATTCCAAGGCAGTGTTTTTCTCCATCTCAGTTCATTAAAAAAATAAAAGATCTTGGGGGAAATTTGGCTTACCTTTGGTTTGAAACTAATATTCTGTCATATTATTTTCCCTGTGATCATTTTACAAGGGCATATTAGTTATCCAGGCTATATGCTTCCTTATAACAAAATTCACAGCAAAATGGCATATTTCAAGTACTCTTCCTCCACTTAAAGCATAAAAATCCTCACACCTAAAAAGACAACTAAAGTTCTATAATGTTTTTGACTATCATAAAATCTCTTTAATAACTACAGACTATAAAAGCTTCCCAGAAGCTAAGTCAGACACTTTTTTTATTAGTGTGTATTTAGTGGATTATTACTGAAACTGACTTACTAATTTTCTGTAATTCTACACACTAGATCGAAGAGAGAAGGTAAAGTAGTTTGTCGAGATCACTGGTGGCACTGAAATGCAAAACACAGCCTGTCTGGCACAAGCTTGCAAACTCATTACACGTCTACCACTTATTAGCAAGTAAGTGAGCCCTAAAACACATGCATACCATAAACCATGGATATTCGTTTTTTTTTTCCTTCTTTCTCTTACACAAGTATATAAAACCTGAACTCCCCCCCAAAAATCATATGAACAAAAATGCTAAACACCCTAATCCATCTTAATAGTACTGATTTTTATTTTTACATAAAACCTGAATTTAACTTGACTTTAGAGAAGATTCTTAAAATGTTCCTTTAAAAATAAAAAATATTCTTCCTTTTAATCAACTTGTACTGAGACAATATACTTTCTTTATAAACATACCAACTGAAAAATTGGTTTCCCCAGCCTTCCTAATTCTTAGGATCTTATGATTTCTTTCTTTTTTCTCGTTCCATTTTCAGAGTCCATGTTCTTCCCTTTGAAGCTCAAATTATCTGCTACCCCATCCCCTACAAATGAACAAAGATCTGGCTGATATTCAAGTAATGGAGCTGTTAAGATCTTTAGAGAAATCTGTTCTTCTAATCACCCCTACTTGAAGGCCAGAGCGCTCACACCCAGAACAGTGGGAGCAGTTCCCCTGAATTTGGGCCTGCCCTATGCTACCAAAGTAGTTCCTGACCAAGAGAGGGTCTGGGCAGTTTAGCATGGTCCATTAAAGTTGCTGCCTATCCTCTGCCTTGTCCACAAAGCAGGATGTTAGGTAGAGGGTAGGCAGACTAAACAAGACTTTTTTCTGGACAGTGGAATGTCAGCTTTCTCTTACCCTCTTTTGTTCCTAGCAAGGCCTCTTGGACACCTGAATTACATAGTGCCCCTTTTTTTCAAACTACATTTTAATAATTAAGCCAAAAGCAACAATGATAAATGCATTTATTTTTTTTTTAAGTTTACTTCTTTCTTTTTTTATTTTTTTTTTTTTTTTCTAGTACCAGGGATTGAACTCATGATCTTGCACTTGCCAGGCAGACACTTATGCCATTAAACTAAGTCCCTGGCCCGATAAATGCATTTATCACTAGAAGACATAACTTATAAGGAAAATATCATAGTTGGGATTTATACCCAAACAATATCTTTAGCTACTTTCTCTGTCAAATTGTGCAAAGCATATCATAAAAATTCCTGTACAAATCACTGTATTTCTCACTCTAACCTGTCATACGTCATACTGAAAGTTTACTGACTACTGTAAAGTATTATGTAGAATTCTAATTTTTGGTTCTAGAAGTTTTTAAGGTATTGTTTTGCATAAACATACCAAGAGAAGTAATAATTTTATTAAAACTTTATAAATCATATATAAATGAGAAGGAGCAAGAAAAACATAAGGAGAATAAAAAAAATTAGCCAAGAAAGGAGACCATCTGGGATAGTTCCACGTGGAAAAAGCATTTGCTTTATGATTGTCATTTGGACTACTTACAAATGAGCAAATATTCTAAAAAGGTGCCTTTTGTCGTTGTGACCACTGTAAGAAATATGCATATAGACTGAAAGAAAAATTTCAAAAACTACTGCTTACTCATACTAAATTACAAACTATTCTGGATTTTTAAATGCTAGTGATGACATGTTAAATTTATTTCATACCTCACCAGTGACTCACACTATTTGAAAACCTTTGCTCTAAGAGGATCACAACATGTCAGAATACAGAAAAGACCAAGTTGCTAAACTTGACAATTTTGATAGATTAGTCACACTCCAGTAGCATTTCAGGGTGATCCGAAACAAAAACCAAACACATAAAAAGTTCCAAGTAATATCTGCCTTAAGAATAAGTTTCACATTAAAAGAAAGGAAGGGAGCCAACAAGGAAAATTAATAGTTGAGATATTATTGCAACAAATCCATTCAGCTGTCATCGCTATTTTAGAAACTATGACTACTGAACGTTTACTAAAGACTGAAATAAATTACCCAAACTCCAGTATTTTATATCCCACCCTGTTCCTAAAACCTGACCTTCTGTCAAAGGTTAGATATTAGCTACAGTGAGTAGTGATAAAGAGGTGGTCTCTGGTCCCCTGTGAATTGGCATTAGAGCCACTCCCTGGCTCTGGGTCGGACACTGGCTCTGGCTGGCTTTCTACCTAAAACAGATGACAAAATCAGAGAGAAAAAGAAAAGGAAGGATGAGATAACTTTATACCAAGTGACGTTTATTTTTCAGAAATAGAGTTAAGTTGGGTGTGGTGGTGGTGCACACCTATAGTCCCACACTCAGGAGGCTGAGGAAGTAGAACCACTGCAGTCTGAGGCCAGTGTGCAATACATCCTCCTTCCAAAGCCAACCTGAACCACATAGTAGGACCCAACTCAGGAGGAAGGAAGGAAGGAAGGAAGGAAGGAAGGAAGGACAGATGGACCTACAGACAGATGGATGACAGATATTCAGCACTGTCACTTTAAGTGTAAGATTTATTATTTTACTAAGAAAACTAGAAATCCCTTCCAGCTCCAAAAATAATAGACAAGTTTAAATAGCTAAATGCTCCTTTGTGCGGCCAAGGAAGCAATTCTAATATCAAAAACCACAGCAAAGACAATATACCACCCTTTCCAAATCAATGACGAAAAAGGTAGATGTTTTTGAAATGAAAATGATTTTACAGACATGTGCAACTTTCGAAATTTTTCAAATTATACATACTGAATATATACAGTATGCTGTCACATTAATTTTGCCTCAATAAGCTTCTAAAAGATACCAAACTCCTATCTATATAAACAAATTACATCACTGCAATAATCAAAAAGATCAATATAATAACTTATCCCATTATATTCTCTTTTTCTATTAAACTTACTTATCCTTTGTAATCATTTTGTCATATCCCTCTCATTATCCTAAATCAACCAGCACTGAAAAAAACATAGTAACCACGTTTTAAAGAGTACTGAAATTTTCACTGCTATTGAAATGACCCGTTATAACACTCTGAAATATACCTTTCCTTTAATGACTTAAAATCACAACCTTAAAACATTCCTTAATGATGTCATTTTCTTTTCCCCAGTTAGTTATGACATTTCCAGGCAACACCTATCTCCATGCTACCTTGTCAAGAGTTCAAAATCAGTTGTATGCCTTATTATAAAGCTATCAGAAATAAATCAACAACTAGTAAGGGAAGAATAAAAACCATGAAGACTAACTACTCACATCAGATTTAGAGGACATATTCTCCTCCATGTCCGAATCATTGGGATCCACAATATCATCAAATGGTGGTAAAGTCGATTTTTTCTTCTCTGATACCTCACTTTCAATTTTGACCTTTCCCATCTTGACATGAGATTTATCTTTTATCTGTTTTTTATCAGCAGAACAAGTGAGTATCAGTGGTGGTGCACTAGAAAAACTTTTAAATAAAGCCTCTGAGCTACTCTTTTTCCTTTTTTTGGCTGAGAGTTCTTCTGAATCTGAAATAGGGGGCCTTTTACTAGGAGCCTTCTTATCTTGCTGTCCACTGGTGATGGTGAGTAAGTTACTGTCTGGTTTTGGCTCTTTTGACATGGGTTTCGGTTCCTTGAAGGCCATTTTAGGAACTATTTTCTCTTCTTTCAGTGGTTTATTTTCTTTGGGTTTCTTAGAGGATTCTTTGGAAGATTTGTTATGATCCCTGGAAGGTTCTTTGAAGGCACTTTTATGTTCTCTGGAGTCTTTAGAAGGTTTTTCCTTGTGCTCCTTCATTAATTTGTGAGGCTTTGAAAAACTGGTACTGCTGCTGCTGCTGCTGCTGCTACTGCTGCTGCTGCTGCTGCTGCTGCTGCTACTGCTGCTGCTGCTACTACTGCTGCTGCTGCTGCTGCTGCTACTGCTACTGCTGCTGCTGCTGCTGCTACTGCTGGTATGAATACTCCTATTAGGGTCCTGCAGAAAGCGGAGAAGGAAATAAACTCTCAAGACTAGGAACAAAGACTCAAAAGGCAATTCTCTTGATTTGATATGCATACAATGATCCTTCTTTGATTGCTCATAAGTTACTTCTAGATACCAAAAATATTTTAATATGATATTTAATACCATTTTAATACATATTTAATACCATATTTTAATACAATATTTAATACCATTATAGCATAACAAGTTGGAAGAGTATACATAAAAAACACAGGGAGACGTGGTTACTGTGATCAAAGAGTGTACAGAGGCAAGCTGTCTACCTAATCACTAGAAGCATGGAGTTTCAATTCAATGAATATTAACTACAGCCTTGTCCTAGAATACATGGTCCTGCTCTTAATAATTACGAACCATCTTTGGCTGATGGTTCTTGAAACAGCCACCTACAAAGGGCTATGACAACAAAAGAAAGGGGACTATATACTTCTATTTGAGGAAAAAGAGTAATTCAGAAGTTTATTTAATGAAGAAGTAATAGGTCAATTTGGTCCCAGAGGATAAATAGATAATTACTGGAAAGAAAAGAATGAAACGGTACTTAAACGACCAGGGGTCAAAAAAACATTAAAATAAGGGAGGAAATCACAGAGTATATTTGAAGAATAGCATCTAGCTATAGCACAAGACTAAGAAGGAAGTGGAAAACTAAGTCAGTATCACCTGTTAAAGTCAGGTTACATTAAATTCAAAATGACTTTGCAACATTAAAAAAACACAAAATGCTTAAAAGAAATAATTTCCATTTTGGGATTTTAAAAAACAATTGTTTTTATTCTGTTTAAAATTTCACCAGCTAAGGAGTGCATTTCTAATAGGGGCAAAGAAAAGGAATGCAATGTAACAAAATTTCACCTGAACATCAAATGAACTAACTCTTTAATAATACTGCATGTAATCATGAAAAAAGAGGTAATTGCTCCTATTTCGTTTCAAATATTATCATTTTTTTCACTCATATAAACACCTCAGAATATATAACCACTACATATTTCTTCTGTTTAGGAACAAAATGTAAGTCCATACTTACTATATTTGTGAACTTCTACCATTAATAATAATAAATAGAATTAGAACTTAGACATGTAAAAATTCATACAATACTAAAATAAAAGCTCTTTCTTACTAATTTCCATCTTCTAATAAACCAAAGACAAATAAATGTCCAAAATTTCAACTAGAATTTACATCGTCAGGCTCTTTTTTTTTTTTTTTTTTTTTTAAGGTCAGGGTCTTGCTATGTAGTTTGGGCTGGTCTTAAATTCATTGTGCAATCAGACTGACCTTGAACTCACAGTAATTGTTCTGCCTCAGCCTCCCAGATGCTGGTACCACAGGCATGTGTCACCATGTCTAACTTATTTTTCACTTAAGCCCAAACAAATACAAACCAATCCTACGTATTCCATTTATTTTCTCAAGGGAGCTTTTACTAAGCAAAGATTTGTTTTATGTATCAAACTGGACAATTCCTTCCATAATAGGTGAAGCTGAGATGTAAAAAGAGAATGCTTTAAAAATAGAATTCATATTACTGAAATGTCATTATTTTATAAATTCATTATAAGACATTTCCTGGAATGTTATGCTATTGCTATGAATAATTAAAATAAAGTATAACAGACAAACTAAATTAAGAAAGAACATTTTGAAATCTAATATCCTTGAGTATGTTTTAAATTGGTTTGTTGACTCACTGAATTTTGGACATTTGCAATCAGTATTCTAATAATGACTAAGAACACCCAAGCACTGCTGTTTGATATTCAACCTACATAAAGTATTGCACATATTCTTATACAGGAACTTTAAATAATGTTTCATTATAAAATTTTTAATGTTAAGAATTAAAAGTGAGCCACGTTGCATTATGGGGATCAGGAGGAGATTCAGCAAGAAGACAAAGCACATCTTCCTGTAAGCCAGCCAGTTTACTGGCTGGGAAACCAGAAGAGCATCCCATCCTCCTAACCCACCCCCAACCCCCTCCATGGGAATCTGGCTGATTCAGAGGACTCAGAGTAAGATGGTAGCAACAGAGGTAAAAGGAATAGCTTGATGCTTGTGTTGTTTAGTTAACTTTGCAGGCCTGGGGCTGGTGGTCTAAGCATGTATGTGGAGGATGGCAGTGTGCACTGTGGCAACTGTTGGGGATTTTCTTCTATCTTGCTTTTGAACTCCAATGTTGTGCTCCATTTTCCTTTTTGTTTTATTCCTGTGTCTGGTGACTTAAGCAACTATTTTAAAGGTAACAACTTTCAGTACAACAACCATTGTTAAATTCTTATTCTCTTGGTTTGAAAACCGATATAGTTATTATTTTGTTGTTGTTGTCATTTTGCTTTTGTTGTTTTTAGGTTTGTTTGCATCTTGATTTTTCTGAGTGTTTTTCTCTTTAAAGTAAAAAAAAGTGCAAAGATATTGTGAATTGGGAGGAGGCTGTTCGGAGGAGAAGACAAACAGTGATGTAAGAAGGAAGAATGGGTAAAGGGAAAGGATGCATGTGTATAGAGGATGGTTTGGGTAGCTGTACAATGGGCTTCTGTTTGTTTCCTGGAAAGCATGTTTGTTCCAGTATTGTTTGGACGGGATGTCGCACCTATGTCCTGTGCTGCTGTAGGACACCAGTGGGCAATGTATTAAGCATTGATGCTGTTCTACCACCTTGTTCTGAAACTCCTTTGTGTTAACTTTTTTCTCTTTAAAATAAAATTTAAAAAAGAAAAGAATGAAAAACCATTAACGATTCAGCAGCAGGGTGGAGGGAGCACTCCAGAGGACTTTCCATGACTCCTTAACCATAGCCTTCTGTGGAACAAACTGGAATTCCTAATATAAGGAACGCAGTGGCATCTGATACAAAACTTTATCATGTAAGAAGTTTAAACTCTTGTCTTAATTAGATACATAATAATTCTAGATACAAAAGCTCTAGAAATTTAAGTTTTAATGATTTTTTAGGACTTTGGTCTAAGGCTTCAGTGTTACCTTTTCGTCTACGTAACAAATCTTGACACGAGCAAGAAGCCTGATTATTTTTGTTCCTTCTCCTTTTACAAGCTTTCTTTAAGCTAAGAGAACAATAGCTCTTAATAAGCTAAGAGGACAAACACATTCCATAACAGAGTTGTAGCCAAGTAAAACTGAGAAATGTAGAAAAAAGTAGAGAATGGTTCTATTATGGAGGGCAGTGTTTTCTTTGACTGCATCTGTGATACATGACAGTTTAAATACAAGTCCTCAAGAACCATATTCATACATGTAATAGATGTGAAACAGTGGCTTTGACACACAACCAAGCATTAAGTTGCTACTAACATAGAATAAAAGCTTTCAATGATTCTTAACTTATCTGTCACACACACACACACACACACACACGATTCAGCCAGTAGCTTTTCAAATTTTTTATTGAACCATTAACCTCAACATTAAGTGCCAGTTGGTAGCATGCACTAATTGCCATCCAAAGTGAAGTTTAGTTTACAGACACTGTGTAATTCAAATTCTCTTTGCCTGAGGTTTATTCGACAAACTGAGCACCAAGTAATCCAACCAAAGGCAGCACGTGTGCATAATTCAAATCTCAAATATTTAAGGTAAGTGGTTAAACATAAGCATACATATATTTGCACTAATTTTACAACCTGAGAATATAAGGTACAGAATTTTTTTAATCCATTCACAGTTCTACTGAAAGCTTCCTTGTTTTAATTTTCTGGAACAGAATGGGTCTTTTAATGTGTAATCTCTTCTAACACCACTTGTCAGCAACCCTAGTAGATGGATTAAGAAAAGGAGAAGTTGTAATTACTGGCCAGAATAAAGTTTTCTGATTATATTTGGCTTCCAATTTCCAAGTTATCTCTACTAACTCCAAATTGATATTTTGACTCCCATTTCTTTCCTCTCTGTCCTATTTTTACTGGCTTCTATGTTGATTGAGTTTCTCAGATAAATCATATCTTGTTCAGTGGAGCTCTAAACTAGACCCAAAGGAGCTTAACATACAGATAACAGCACAGGTATGTCAGGCTCCCTGGCTCTGAAAGCACTCAATAAAAGTCCACTCAACTACTGGTCCAGGGAATACAAGGAAACTGACGGAAGGCAAAGAGTCTGTCAGGTAAGTAGCTAAAAAGTAGACAGCATGTCTTCTGCTACCATGCAGGCTGAGCCACAGTGCACCTATAAATAACACGCCTAAGGGAAGAGGAAATAGGAAGGGATGGAACTAACAGATCTTCTGATGGAGACAGAAAAAAAGCTTAGGTCAAAAACAGTATAAGGGATGGGGATTTAGCTCAGTGGTGTTAAGAGCCTGCCTGGCAAGCACAAGGTTGTGAGTTCCGTCCCCAGTAGCAAAAAAAAGGCTGCTACAAAAAAATGTTAATTAGGTTCAACCTCAAAAATTAAAACTCTCAGATTGAGAATTGGCTAAAGGAAAGGATAGAGAACACAGGCATTTTGAAAGAACGACTGTAGGAAAGCTCAAAGAATAAAGTAAAAACACAAGAGATGAAAATTGTAATGGGAAAAGAGGATGTGAAGAACAGTTGGGGTGCCCTAAGAAATCAGCCACAGGAAGGGTTCCAGAGAGGCCACAGAAGGAGTAAAAAGAAGAGACAGGAGAGGCAACCATGATAGTGACACTGAAGGAAATTTCCACAAACCAAAAGAAAAGACCAAAGTGCAACTTCCCAGGTGTTACCTAAGATCCAGCAGAGCTAATGCCCTTTAAAGGGTGCACTAGAATACTGCATTCTATTTGATAAACTTCAGAGATAAAAGAAAAATTGACAGGTTAACAAAATCAAGTACTTAAAAACAAAAAGAATCGAACTGACATTAGACTTCATTTATTAACACTGGAATCTAAAACAAAGAATAATAGTATCTAGATGGCTGGGAGAAAAAGTAGTACAATAGTCCCCCATCATGCACGGAAGATAGGTTCCATGACCCCACTG